AGGCTATCTGCGGTTTCTTGAAAACAGTATTTCTTGACTATTTTCTGTGTGTGTGTGTGTGTGTGTGTGTGTGTGTGTGTGTGTTGTGTGTAACTAATTCATTAAATAGTTTGAACTCAATATATAAAATCAAGAAATAATTGTTTTCTCTACCACTGTTCTTTGGCTATAGTAAATGGAATAACTTTTTTTTCAGTTCTATCTCAGTCTACCTGTTGTTCATATATAGAAATGCTATAGATTTCTGTATATTGATTTTGTATACTGCAACTTTACTGTTTTCGTGCATTACTTCCAGAAATATTTTCATGGAAACCATTGGGTCTTCTATGTATACAATCACGTCATCTGCCAATAGAGTTTCACCTCTGCTTTTCCTATTTGAATGCCTTTTATTTTTTCCTCTTTTCTGATTGCAATCAGTTGGTGAGGATTTCCAGTAATATATTGAAAAGGAGTGGAGAAAGTGAGCATCCTTGTTTTGTACCCATTTTTGTGTCTGGAGACCTCCCTGAGTAAACCAGCTATGCACGTGCTCATGATCCAGACTGGCTGAGCTGGGCGTGGATTGCACTATTAGGACCCTGTCCATCGTTAAGTAATAGATAATGTGACTATCTCTCTCTCCTTTCTCGCTCTCTCTCTCTCATGGAATAAATACTTCTAAATAAATAAAATAAAATAAAATAAAATAAAATAAGATATTTAGGGACCAGTAGGTAGTATAGCGGTTAAGGTGATGGACTCCTACATGACTGACAGCAGTTTGAGTCTCAGACCTGGCAGCTTGAACTTCATTTCGAGCACATGTGCCCAAAATCCCAAGAGAAGAATAAAGGAGAAAGGATTGGATTGCACCATGGCCATCCCGCCAGGGGGTGATTTCTCACTTTCTGTCTCTCTCTGGCGAGTATATGTGCCCCAAAGCAAAAACCTCTCAAAAACAAACAAACAAAAAGATATTTAAACAAAATTTGAGATGGGAAGGAGAACAAAGAGATAAAAGGCCAACATTTTTGCCTTTATTAGAGGTATTTTTATCTGTATCTGTTGGATGTCGAATGCTGGCCTATGTAGAAATTCTGTGTCTTTTTTCTCATGGGAGGTTTTGTAGCTATTTTTGGGAAAACAAAAATATCTTACTATACCCCTACTAATAGGAGCCCCAATGCTGAAGAAGTTGCAAAACTTTCTGTATCAAAAGCAATGGTATAAGGAAGACTATGTATAATGTCTAATGAAAGTCAGGTTTTTACTTTTGATGAATATAGTCCCTTTTGGAAGTGAATGCCCTCTCCCCCCCAAAACAAAAAACAAAAAACAAAAAACAACCTATGTCTATCTCGTAGTTAGAAAGTAGTATCTCAAAGTTGGTGATAAATGTGATGCCTGAAGCACTTTATCTATGGTACTGTTTTTTTACATTATTGTTGTTCTTACTCAGTGTTACAGTTTTAAAGCTCCATAAAATTTTAGTAGTCTGTCTTAACTTTCCTTCTCTCACTCTCTTTTCTTTTTTCATTTTTTGCTATAGAGTGACTGTGCCCACCAGAGAGACAGAGAGAGGGAAAGTGAGAAATTATTCATTGGCAGAGGATGGCCAACACCACAGTCCCTTCTCTTCCACTTTCTTCCTGGGATTTTGGGCCCACACGCACATTTGCCGAGCATCAGTTTTAAGCTGCCAGGTCCAGGACTCAAACTGTTGTTGATCGTGTTGGGGGTCTAGTGCCTTAACCAGCACACCCTTGCTGGCCCCAGATCTAAGCAACTTTTAAGAGTGCAATGCATTGTTATTAAGTATGGTCAATGTATATAATATTCCTGTGGTATCTTTATAAAAATGTCTATCATAAATTTTATTATAAGGAAACATCAGACAAATTCAAATTGGGATACATTCTACAAAATAATTGGTGAGTTCTCTAAAAATACCAAGTCCATGAAAAGCAAAGACTGAGGAGCTATTTTTAATTAAAGAAGACTGAAAAGACAAGATTCTGAATTAATGAATTAGAAGTGGAACAATTGGTGAAATTTGAATAAAGTGTTTAGATTAGATGTAAAAATCCAGCTTAATTATCAGGATAGGAACTGGCATAGCTGGTGGCCTGACCATCCTTTCCTTTCAGGGCTTATTGCATAAAAGTGAGAAAAACCCTTGGCATTCAGATTGTCTCCCGTATTTTGTTATTACCAAAAATCTATAATAAATTAACTTGTGCATATTTGTTTTTATCTCATTGGAAACATTTCTTCAGAGTAAATTTCTAGATATAGGATTTCAAAAGATAAGTGGATATGTAGCTTTATTAGATATTCAAAATTACCCTACAGAGGGGCAAGAATACCAAGTTGCATTCTCCCCAATAACATATCAGAAGGCCACCGACCTACTCCAATGCCTTGCCAACAGTCTGGGCAAGAAATTGAGTCTCAGTAAAGTTTTAATCTGTAGTAGTTTTCTACTTGTGAGTGATAGTGAATATCCTTTCACATGTTCTTTTTTTTTTTTTTTTGGAGAGAGGTGTTTTTTTTTTTTGCTATAGGGTGTCTGTGCTTGCTGGAGAGACAGGGTTAGAGAGAAAGAGAGCAAGAAATCACCCCCTGGGGCAATGGCCACACCACATTCCCTTCTCCTTCAATCTCCTCTTGTGATTTTGAGCCAGTGTATGTACCCAGTGTGGTTTTAAGCTGCTGGGTCTAGGATTCGAACCACTAATGATTATGTGGGAATCTAGTGATGCAATCATTATGCCATCTGCTGATCCCAATAAATAAAACTTCTAAGAGACTAATTTACAGACTTCTATGAAAATATATTTGAAAACCTAGGTGAAGTGGATAGTTTAGATTATCAAAATTAGAACTAGAAAGCTTAGAGAGAACAATTTCTGAAAAAATAAAACAGAGATGGTAATCAAAGCATTAATACCATAAAAAGGTTCCAGTTCAACATGGTTTCATAGGGTACTCATATCAAACTGTCAAACAGTCACAAGACATTTTACCTGGAATTGTATTGTATCTGATAGAATGCCTTTCTCACTGCTTTCATCTTCTCTCCCTTTGCCTGGGAATTCCTTTGTTCTTTTCATTTTGGGGTTTTTGGAATTAACTTTGTTTTAGATACATTTTTGTGTACCATATTGAATTCTGTTGAGTTTTGCTTTTTGAAGTATTAAAAGTATTTTTCTTTTTTATATAGAGAGATTTTTGCTATAGGGCACTTGCATTTGCCAGAAAGACAGAGAGAGACAGAAAGTAAGAAATCACCTCCCAAGGGAGACGGCCACACCGCAGTTCCTTCTCCTCCATTCTGGGCCCAGAATTTTGGGCACATATGCACACACATGTGCCCAGTGTAAGTTTTTTTTTTTTTAGAGGTTTTTGCTATAGAGGGCACATGTACTTGCTGGAAAGACAGACAGAGACAGAAAGCGAGAAATCACCCCTGGGGGGGATGGCCATGCTGCAATCCCTTCTCTATTCTCCTCTCGGGATCTTGGGCATGCACGCACATGTGTCCGGCATGAGTTTAAGCCACTAGGTCCGGGACTTGAACCACGACCGACTACATGGGAGTCCAGCGACACAGCCATTACATTAATTGCTGGTCTCCCCAGTGTAAGTTTTAAGCATCTAGGTCTGGTACTTGAACCGCGGTCAACTATGTACATAGAGTCCAGTGATGTAACCATTACACCAGCATGTAACTGTTACACCATCTGCTGGTCCTAAAGTACTTTTTAATATATGATTTAATTCTACTCATATTTATTGATATAACTGATATATTTGGTCTTAATTCTACATACTGTGTTCTTTTTCTACCTGTTAGGTATCCTTCATTGTTTTATTTTTAAATTTAGAAAGGTATCCCCTTTTATTCCAGGAGTTACATTTATACTTTTCATTATCCAGTGTTTAAGATTTTATGTTATCTCGTAACTCCTACCTATTGCTTAAAGAGCAAGCCCTGAGCTTACGTCACTGTTTTCTCTTCTGTCCCTTCCCATTTAACATTTTAATTTTTTTAAAATGCCAGAGGATGTATGCACACACACGAGAGAGAGATTGAGAGAGAAAGCACCCCAACAGGTCCTGGTCATGCCACAATCCTTTTTTTTTTCTGTGTTTCTTCATCTTGTCAGGATCCTGTGCATACATGATTGTTCCTACCATGTTTTTCAGGCAACCGAGACTATAATTCTGACTGCCGTCAGCCATGTGAGATCTGGCTCCCTCTGCACATCACTTGATGGCTGTGCTATAGGAGCTGGCCCTCCCTTCCCACTTTTATTCATTCATTCATTCGTTCATTTATTGATAATTGCCAGAGGATATGTATGCTTGCCAGAGAGAGGGAGAGAGGGAGAAAGTACCTCCCCCTTGGGCATGGTCACGCTGCTGTCCCTTAGCCATTTCTCCATCCTGTAGGGATTTGGGGCATGCAGGCACATGTGACTGGTATGTTTTTCAGGCCTCCAGGGCCAGATCTCAAACCACAGTCTGCCACATGGGATCCAACCTCACTTAACAGCTAAGCTATAGACCAGCCCTGCTCCCTAACCCCCAGTATTTTTTGTTTGTTCATTTTTTTTTTTTAAATAATTTGTTGCCAGTGGGTGCTTATGTGGTTCCTTCTCTATTTCTCCTTTCCTTGGGGATTTTGGGCATGTATGCACATGCACCCAGTATATTCTCAAGCCATGGTTTTGGGACTTGCATCTGTCTTAGTGAAGCCTTCCCTTTTTGTGCAATTTGAAAATTGCAGAACCTCTCACTCCTTGCAGGTGCTTCATTTTTGTATACAACTCTTATTGCTAATTGACATCAAAATCATTTTAGTATTTTGCTTATTTTCAGAATTACCCAACTAGAATATAAGTATAATGAGAGCAGATGTATTTCCTCTCTTCCAGTGCCGTTTTTCCAGTTCCTAGAGCAGCTCAGATTGAATACTGACTAATTATTTGTTGTATGAATGAGTGGGGAATCTATCATCTTTTTTTTTTCCCTCTTTCTTTGTATAGTGCTCGAAAGGCAGTGGATGAGGAAGAGGATGCAGCTGAAGAACGACGGAATATGCAAACAATTTGGGTGACTGGCAGAAAAGGTTTAACTGAAAGGGAAGCCGCAGCCCTTATAGTGGAAGAAGCCAAAATGATTCTGCAGGAGGACTTAGTTGAAATGGGAGTACAGTGGAATCCACATTCCCCTTTAAATTCTAGTAAACTTTCATTGACCAGTAGTGATTCAGAAGTAAAAGAACTCATATTTATACCCCAAACTCAGAGTTCTTGCAAAAGATTAATATCAAAGAACAAAAGTAACTCAATCTTTAGTGATTCTTATGTTAAACGTTCACTAAATACAGTGCAAGATTTAGATAAAAGTAGAGAAAGACATACAAGTCCCATTTATAAGTTTCAGGATAAGAATCAAGAATATCAGAGACATTCCATTTCCAAACGGGCTTGTTTGGATATAAGTAAGGAGAAGCCAGGGACCTCTCTGAATGAAGGAAGAAAAAGCACCCAGAAAGCTGTTCAGACTTTCTCATTTGAGAAAACAAAAATAGCTTCAAATTTCAGTTCAGACAAAATGAGCACATCTTTTCGGTCTTGGAAACATAGAAAGCATCTAAAACAATCCAGGAGCAGTAGCTCTGTGAAAGACTCGAGTATAAGTAGAACTGATTTACAAAGATGGAGAAAGTCTAGTCCTATCCTTTGTGAAGACCCGTCTGCCTTAGGTGAGAGGAATGTGGAATTTAGAAGTCCAGGACCATTTGCTAAAAATGTATCTTTTTGTGTTGAGAGAAAATATGACCAAACAGAGCAGAGTTGTACAAGGAGTGGAGCAATAAGTAATGATATTTTTGTGGAACATTTTGACACGGGGTCTCAGAGTAAAACCATGGCTTGTCAAACCTTTGGTGTGGTTAGTGAAAATGGAAGAGGATTAGCTATTGTTGAAACAGAAAAGATAAACAAAGTACTGATACAAAATGATTCAAAAAACCAGAATGTTAATTTGAAATACTGTGTCACCCACCCAGTTAACCAGGACCTGGGAAAGCAATGTGATCAACAGACAGATACATGTACCAAACAGAAGGAAATAACAGAGAGACAAATGCCTTTTGAGGCAGTTAGTAGTAATACGAATGGTGACTCAGATGTTACTTCTGTCAAATGCAAAAGTGTGAAGTTTAATTCTGAGGAAAATAAACCAAGTCATTTTCAGGCTTTCGGAAATAATATAAGCAGAACTCAGATACCGAGTGAAATACAAGTGTTGACTGGGACATTTCGTGAATCAGGAGGTCAGCATGACAGTTTTCAAAATACCTCTAAAATACAAGAAAAAGCATGTGCTTATTTGACAAACAAAACTGAAAATAATAATGTTTCTGACTTAGGTTTGGTCCTCTGTGATTTTGAAGATAGTTTCTACCTAGATACTCAGTCAGAGAAAATAATACAAGAGATAGCAACTGAAAATGCTAAGCAAGCAGCAGAAGACCCCAACTTGGCAGCAGAGAAGATGCAGACAAATGTACAGAAGCAGAACTTGATAAGCTCTTTTCAGAATGCACTTTGTGTTACTCTCCCTGGGGAACAGCATTCTCCAGGAGTGACTAATACAGAGCCTTTGGACCATAAGACTGGAGATACCAGGCATAAACCAAGCACTGATTCATGTAGGGTTGATATCCTGACTCGAGAGAACTCAGTTTTTCATTCTCCAATCCTATTGGAGGAAAATAGCCCTTGTTTTAAAGGGAATGAACTTTCTGTTACTGATTCCCAGTTAAATAATTTTCTTCAAGGTTATCAAACACAGGAAACTGTGAAACCAGGCATACCTGTGGTTCCTCAAAAGGAAACACCCACTGCTATGGAAGGAGAATGTCTGCCAGTTCCTGAAACGAGTTTGAATATGAGTGATAGTTTGCTATTTGACAGTTTCAATGAGGACTATCTAGTAAAAGAACAACCAGCTAAAGTACAAGCAAAAGAAACCTTCCTTACTACTGAGATAACATCAGACCATTTCAGTGATTCTCTGAACATACGGGAAGGCCCAGCTAAAACATCAGATATCAATGGGAACCAGGATATTCATCAGCAATTGACTTGTTTCAATGATGAATCTCTTATGTTTTCAGAAATGGATTCTGCTCAGGTGGTAGAAGTTTTGGATAAATTAGATATATTTCCTATCCAAGAAAAGCATAATACTGCAGTATCTCTTAGCACATTGAAACTAAGTGATCCAGTGATTGTAGTCAATAATCACCGCCAAGGAGAAGTAATTGGAGGAGAGCAAGATGAAAAGGCTCAACAATCCAAAATAACTGAGACAGGGCAAAATAATTCATTCATGTGGTCAGGGGCATCATTTGATTTAAGTCCAGGACTACAAAGGATTTTAGATAAAGTGTCCAGTCCTCTAGAAAATGAAATGCTAAAATCAATGCCTATAAACTTGTCTAGTTTGAAAGGAAAAAACAGAGAGTTAAATGAGAAACAAGAAGTGATTTCAAATTTGGACACAAGTCAAATGCAGAGAATTTCATGTTTCCACACCAATGAAGTAAAAAACAATATTGCACCAGAAAACAGTGTCAATCATGGTGCACATTTATCCCCCTTATCCTTTAAAGAAAGCTGTATAGTTGATGATAATGGTCTCATTCCTCCTACACCCGTTCCAGCATCAGCGTCTAAGTTTTCATTTCCAGGGATTCTTGGAACATCTGCAGTACTTCAGAACACTGGTAGTGTTTTACAGTCTGGTGGAAGTTACTTATTTGGCTCACCTTCAGATACTAAAAATCACGAGTTAAGTCCAGACAGTAGAAATGGTTTCAAAGATGAGAGTCCTAGAAAAGAGAAAAGTTTTTCACTGCAGTTTTCACAGGATGGACTGCAGTTAACTCCAGCCTCAAGCAACTCACAAAGTTTGGCCATAATTGATGTAGCAAGTAACCAAACTCTCTTTCAAACATTCATTAAGGAGTGGCAGTGCAAAAAACGCTTTTCCATCTCATTAGCTTGTGAAAAGATTGGAAGTTCAGCATCTTCTAAAACTGCTACTATTGGTGGTAGGTTTAAGCAAGGTAAGAACTTCTTAAAAATTTTTTTGTCACATTTATGTATAAACTACTCTGGACTGAGATGAAATTTAGATTTTTTGGTATTGGGTAGTAAATGTAATATATTCCAAATTGAATGTGGATTATGTGTAAAATAGCCTCATTTATTTAGCACAGCAAGATTAGTAATAATTGCCTTCTAGTATGAAGTACATGTAGTCTATACTACGTTCATTGAAATATAAGTCTGTAAAGGTTAAATAGATATTTTAATTATGAGTCAGCCATTTTTTTTATAATATTGTAATGTGATATCATGATATTTATTTATTTATAGAGAGAATTTTGCTATAGGGCATGTTCACTTGCCAGAGAGACAGAGAAAGACCGAGAGACAGAAAAATTGAAATCACCCCCAAGAGGAGATGGCCACTCTACAATTTTCTTCTTCATTCTCCTCTTGGGATCTTGGGCACACATGTACATGTGCCTGGTGTGTGTTTTAAGACCCCAGGTCCAGGACTTGAACCATGGTCAACTACATGGGAGTCCAGCAACATAACCATTAAGCCATCTGCTGGTCCCATGATTTTTATTCATAAGTAGTGCTCATGAATTATTTCTTATTAAATTGTAATTTCCTTGTTTACTGATATAAACACAAAAATACATAGCATATAGGCACTATACTTTTCACATATACATTAACTACATTTTCCAAGATTTATCTCAAGTAGAAATTAGGCCAAGTTTTAGTTATGCATTCTGTACAGAAATGAGTCCAGAGTTTTGTAGAACTCTTCTAGGTTTTGAAAGAGTTGAACCTTTTGGTCAAATAATGCTATGTATATTCTCTTACTAGATCGTGGGAAATAACTGTATTCAACAGGCTTGGACACCCTATTGCAAGAATCAGGGTTTTATTAGATTATCAAATCTCTGTATTTGAACACATTTGTTCATAAAGATTTGCATATTAATGACAAGTTTTATGTATTTTTTTAGCAAAATTTTTGCTATGGGGGGTGTACCAGAGAGACAGAAAGTGAGAAATTCCCCCTCTCCCCCCTGGGGTATGGCCACGCTGCAATCCCTCCTTCTCTATTCTCTCTGGATTTTGGACAGGTGCGCACATGCACCTGGTGTGAGTTTCAAGTTTCTGGGTTTAGGACTTGAACCACGGTTTGTCATGTGGGAGTCCAGTGATGTAACCATTATGCCATCTGCTGGTCCCAAGTTTTATGTACTTTTAGTGTTGAATAACACTTCCCATTTTTTATCCAACAAACATAAAATTTAGGACATTTTCTGTATTAGACTGTATGCCAGAGGCTAGGGGCATAAATCCAGTAGAAATTTAATAAATGCTCATTGAGTTCCTATATGCCAGTTATCTTCCAGGTATTGGGAATGTAATTGTAAATAAGGCAGATTAGTTCTTAACCCTTTACATCTCCAGTGTAAAATTGGAGATATTTTAGAAAAAAATGTGGACACGATATACAAAAATCATACTTAATTCTTTACTTCAACAGTAAGACTTTAATTTTGGAGTTTCTTAGTTTCTGAATTTGCAACAAAGTTTTTGTATTACGCAAAGTGATCTTTATTTCTATTTGAGTTACAGAAATTTGAGATGTAGCTTCTTAAAGTTAGTTAATACCTGCTTAGTCATTATTATAGATCTATTTTAAGAAATCTTTTAAAGATTTTTCATAGTGACAGTTACATTAACTGATGGAAACCTAGAAAGACTTATACACCTAAAAAAATAACTATGCAAATGATGAATATTTTAGGATCTGGAAATATGATTATTAAATATTTTTTTTAAATATTATCATTGTTTTGACCATTTATTTAATGCCTTTATTTTTATTTTATTTTTTCTTTTTTTTGGGAGAGGTTTTTGCTATAGGGCGCGTGCGCTCGCCAGACAGACAGAGAGAGATGGAGAGACAGAAAGCGAGAAATCACCTCCTTGGGGTGATGGTCACGCCGCAATCCCTTCTCCTCCATTCTCCTCTCGGGATCTTGGGCACACATGCACACGCACCTGGCATGAGTTTTAAGCCACCAGGTCTGGGATGTGAACCGCGGTCAACTACATGGGAGTCCAGCGACATAGCTATTATGCTAACTGCTGGTCCCTTAATGCCTTTATTCTTAGAGATTTTTAACTATTTCATTTTTGATTCACTTAGGTAGTTCATCTCAGGAAACTCCTATTAGAGATGGTGGATTTCCTGTTAAAGGACATGAAGACATCTTGGTGGTTGGACTGGCAGTATGCTGGGGTGGAAGGGATGCCTATTATTTTTCATTGCAGCAAGAACAGAAACATTCTGGTAAATAATCAGTATTTGGCTAAATAAGCATATAATTAATGTATCTCTACTAGAGTAATAATCTTGTATGTTAAGAATAATTTCCTGAAATTTACCTAGAATTTATTTTTAGAATTAAAATAAATATTATTATTATTATTATTATTATTTTGACCGTAGAACATTTGTGCTTTCCAAGATATAGACATAGAGAGAAAATGAAAAATCACCCCCTGGGGTTATGGCCACACCACAATCCCTTCTCCTCCATTCCTCTCTTGGAATTCTGGACACACACAAATGTCCCTGGTGTGAGTTTCAAGACACTGGGCCTGGGACTCAAACTGCAGTTGGCCATGTTGGGGCCCAGTGCCTTAACCACCATGCTACCTGCTGACTCCACAGTTATTTCTTTTAGAGAGCAAGTCATATGTAAATTATTATGTATGTTAATTAGAATGGATGTTGTAGAAGTGCGTTCTCTAAACTCCTAGCCTGTCACATGAGGCTCTCAGTGCTGTTTTCTTCTAGGGCAAGGGGCGGGGGCAGTAGAGGCCCAGGGACTCCTTTGCTGCCTTCAGGGTTTGCTTTTGATGACTGGATCATGGTAGTTTCTTTACCATCTTTTTTCTCCCAATAATGGATTCCAGAACTCATCTAGAGGCAGTGTTGAGCTAGATATCCATTGTAGTTCAATCACACAGCCTTTGAAGATGTCTTTGGAATTGAAAGGTTGTGCTCTGGACCCTGCCTGATAACAGTGCTGGATGCTGCTGCTCAGCTGACTGAGTACACATGTGAGGGCCTGGGTTTGATTTCTGGCCCATTCAGACAGCAGAAAGGCTGTGACACAGCGAGATGCTGTCTGAAACAACACACTCACACGCACACACACACTCTCTCTCTCTCACACACACACACACACACACACACACACACAAAAGATAGGATATTGAGATACCTTGAGATCTGATTATGGTTTTGAGTGTTGAGTTGGTTGGAGACAGCATCAAAATGGATAAGGAAGTATTTTAAAGGATACTGTATGATGTCTGTCTTGTAGTGAGCATTCAGTTGTATTGTAGGAAAACATGTTGAGGTGAATAGTTACTTGGATGTCTGCTTTCTTATTTTTTAATGTAATATTATATGATCATATTAATTCTCCCTTTAAAGTTTATCTTAAAATACTTTTCCTGTCTCTAATTCATCCTGAGAAATGTAATTTTATGTTTAGAGATTTAATATTTAGAATTTTCTCTCACTTACTTAACCAGAGCCTTATCAATTTTTAGCTCAAACCATAATTTTTAGATTATGAAGCACTTTGTCTACATTGCTGATATGGTTTGGATGAAATCATGGTAAATCGGTGGTCACATAGAGTTAGACCCTTAGACATCTGAGTCTTTGTTTCAATCTTTCTACTAAAGATTGTACTTCAAATGAATGCATGTAATTTTTGCCATGTGACTTATTTTTTTCCTTTAAGAAATTAGTGCCAGTTTGAACCCACCACCTCTGGATCCAGGCTTGACTGTGAAAGACAGGCTGTGGCACCTTCAATCCTGCTTGCAAAAGAAATCTGGTAAAGAATGTTCTGTTATCATCTATGACTTTATCCAGAGCTATAAAATTCTTCTTCTGTCTTGTGGAATCTCCCTGGAACAAGATTTTGAAGATCCTAAGGTATTGTGTCTTATTTAATTTTTGTATACTTAAAATTTTTTTGTGTTTTGGGTTAATTTTTAAATGGCTTGGTATTTATTTAATTTCAATAATGCAGCTTATATCTTTTTGAGAAGTCACCACTTTATCCAGAAAATTCATCTGCCCAGAATCAAATATTATGTATCAGATACCTCTGTGCAGGTTAAAACAGATAACACACATTCTAAGCCTTAAAGTTTATGTCTTCCCTCAGATTGTTTTTTTTTGAAAATTTAAATTTTAGATATACAGTCTTTTTTAAAAAAAGAATTATTTATTCAATTTTATTTATTCATTCATTCATTTTAATTTGACCAGAGAGAAACAGAGAGAGAGAGAGAGAGAGAGAGTAAGTGAGAAAGCAAGCCACCAGGTCTGGGATGTCCAGCATCTTAGCCACCATGCCACCTGCTGGTCCCCAGAAATACAGTCTCAAGTTTTCTGTTTTATAGTAAATTAGAAGTAAAATGAGAACTATCAGATTTAGGTACATGATAACAGATGTTTCAAATATTTCTGAGGGTAGCGGCAGAAAATAGTATGTGAATATAAGATGGCAAAAGGACTATTGTCAGGGACCAGTCAGCATAGAGGTAAATCATCTTACTAGCCCTTGAAAATTTTCCTACGTAATAGCAAAATATGATATAGTCTTCATAATGATAACTCTGGGTTATCAAGGTAAGAATGCTTATTTTATTGTGATGTACACTTAACGGTATAATGCATTCTCAGAAAACATTTATTTATTATTTCATAGCCTTCAAAGGCAAATAACTTTTTTCTTCCTCTTGATACTGGATACATGAAGCATATGGGATATTAATTTATAGTTGAGAAATAGTACCCTTTGGTAGTTATTATCACTATAGGAAATAATAGGATGATTTTTAGTTTTTTTATTTATTTTTTAATTTATACTTAATCACTGTATATCTTTACATTGTGCAACACGGTTTTCCCCAGCATGAATATGGCACATGTTAGTCAAGTCATCAACAGATACCTTTTTATTTTTGCATCTATTAAGTAGTTGTTAAGTTCTTTCTTTTTTGCAAAGGTTTTCAAAGGCAGCAGAGAGAAATTAAAAATATTATTGTTTCTGTACTTTTTGACAGGTTTGGTTTACAGGTGATATATTTCATGTAGTTTCTAAACTGATCTTTATTGGATATAAAAGGCTGTCACTTAATTTTGATGTTCTGGAGTCCAAGAAAAGAACGTGGATAATGTGGGTCTCTCATTTAAACTACAATAATATTTTAGATTTAAATAGTACCTTTTTCTTAAACTACTTGATATATTTCATAGTTGGGCATTTTTAATCACAGCATTTTTGATGTAAGAAGATAGACTATCAGGCCAGCAGTTGGCATGATGGTTAAAGCACTGGAACCCACATGGCCAACTGTGCGGGTCAAGTCCTAGACCAGGTGGCTTGTAAAACAGGTCAGGCACATGTGCATGCATGCCCAAAATCCTAAGAGGATTCTGGAGGAGAAGGGATTGTGGTTTGACCACACTCTCTGGAAGGTGATTTCTCACTTTTCCTCTCTCTCTGTCTCTCTTCAGCAAGCACGCTTGCCTTATAGCATGTATGCATACATAAATAAATAAGATAATTTATAAAGTTCAATGTAATTATTTAATTTATAAATTTATAAAAACCATTCATTATAATTTATAAAGACATAAAGTCTATAATTTATAGTCTTACTTTTATAATTTAATTTATAAAATTAGTTGTTAATTTACAAAGACTGTTTATAAAGTCTTATTTTATTTTATTTTTTTTGGGGGGGAGGTTTTCGCTATAGGGCGTGTGCGCTCGCCAGAAAGACAGAGAGATGGAGATACAGAAAGCGAGAAATCACCCCCCCAGGAGGGATGGCCACACTGCAATCCCTTCTCCTCCATTCTCCTCTCGGGATCTTGGGCATATACACACACGCACCTGGTGTGAGTTTAAGCCACCAGGTCCAGGACTCAAACCGCAGTTGACTACATGGGAGTCCAGCGACATAGCCATTATGCTAATTGCTGGTCCCCTATAAAGTCTTACTTTTATAAGAAACCTTGACCAGCCTTTATATCAGAACATCTCATTTAAAACTCCCCTATGAAGCTTTACTCTTAACCCACAAAAGAAGTAACTTATGTCAGAATTGTCAGAATTATGAACAGGGTTTAAAATTTCTTATTCTTTAAAAAATTTATTTAATTAATTATTAGTATTAGTATTTGCTATAGGGCGTATATATGCTCACTGGAGAGATGATGGGTGGGGGTAGGGAGTGAGAAAGTACCCAGTGGTGGGACAACCATACAATACCCTTTCTCCTTTGTTGTCCTCTTAGGCTTTTGGGCACATATGCACACATGCCCGGTGTGTTTTCCAAGCCACCAGGTCTGGGACTGGAACTGCTCAGTGGCCAGGTTGGGATCCATCCACCTTAACCTCCATGCTGTCTGCTGGCCCAAATCTCTTTATTCTAAACCTAGTTCTTGACCTGTTAAATCCAGTATTAGAAACTGCAGGTCTCCTCGTCTCATGGGAAAGCTAAAAACAGCTATAAAATGACCAGTTGAGGAGTCCTGGAGACAAACCAGCATCCTGAGGGGGACGGAGACAAATCAGCATGTCGAGGCTTCCTGAAATTCTGGATACAAACTTTTTTTTTTTTTTTTTTTTTTTTTTTTTTACTGGAAGGGTTATATACTTACTGGAGAGAGACACAGAGAGAAAGAGGGAGGCAGAGACGGAAAGTGAAAAGCACTCTTCAGGGGATATAGTTACACTGTAATCCCTTATCCATTTCTCCTTTTGAGATTTGGGGCACACATGCCTGCATGCCCGCATGTCCTCATGCCCAGTATGTTTTTAAGCTGCCACGTTCAGGACTCAACCACATAGTCAGCCATGTGGCATAGTCACCTAACTACCACATCATCAGCTGGCCATGGATACCAACTTTTAATGCAAAAGGATTTGTCTTTCACGTCTGAGTGTGAAAAACACTAAGTAACCATAAAATCATAGCGACTCATTTTCATTATAGTAGCTTAGCCTACTATAATAATAGGAGAGGAGTCTGTATTCATTTTCAGACTCATGGTTTAGTTAGCTGATTTTTATGCTGCTTCGGAACTGGGTCACCCAGGAGCATTGCAGTAACGGAAATATCACTTTTCCTTCTTTCAAGAGTCCTGCTCTAATTACTAAAAAAGTGAGTCCTCTTACAATTATTCTTTCCTGGGATACTACTGAGTAAATGTTAAATGAAAAAAGATTAGAAATGAACTTCTTCTTTTCCTTTCTAATGTAAAAAAAAATCAAGAATATACTCTGCTTGCTGTCTCATTTAGGTGGCATGCTGGTTACTAGATCCAGATTCTAAGGAGCCAACTCTTCATAGCATAGTTACTAGTTTTCTTCCACATGAACTCCCACTTCTAGAAGGAATGGAGACAGGAGAAGGAATTCAGAGCCTGGGACTGAATGTCAACACTGAACATTCAGGGCGATACAGAGCATCTGTAGAGTCTGTTCTCATCTTCAGCTGTATGACTCAACTCAACTCTTTGCTGCAGAAGGAAAACCTTCAAGGTAAAAAAGTTCCTGGCAGTTTTATGCCAGGGGATATATTAAGTTGTTGGGAATATCATTATGCATTTTTTTTTGCATAGGAAAACACATCATGGGGACCAGCAGATAGCATGATGGCTGTGTCGCTGGACTCCCATGTGGTTGACCATGGTTCGAATCCCGGACCTGGTGGCTTAAACTCATGCCGGGCGTGTGTGCGTGTGTGCCCAAGATCCTGAGAGGAGAATGGAGGTGAAGGGATTGCGGGGTGGCCATCCGCCCTGGGGGGGTGATTTCTCACGTTCTGTCTCTCTGTCTCTTTCTGTCTTTCTAGTGAGTGCACACGCTCTGTAGCAAAAACCTCTCCCTCCCAAAAAATAGTACTGACTTTATAGGGTCATTGTAAGTATTGGATGCCTTAATATATGTAGCTTCTTAGAACCATGACTGGCACTATCTAAAAGTCTTAGCTATCATTTTAATTTTTTTTAAAAAAATGAAAAACACATCATGCCTTTCTTGATTACCTTATAAATATATTTAACCATTTTTTAAAAATCACAGGTGATTAAATTTAATATTTTGTGTAAACCCAGCATTTAGATTTTCTTGTGCAAGAGTCAACAAATATTTTTCTGTAAAAGATAGCAAATATTTTGACTTTGTGGACCAGGTGGTTTCTATCATAGATACCGAATTTTGCCATTATATTGGGTCATTGGAAAAGTCACTAGTTGAGAAATTTTTGCATAGAAAAACAGAAACTATGTCATGACCTTTCCAGTGACCCACTAGTATGAGAGAAGCTATAGACAATACTGAAACAAATGGGCATGGCTGTCTTCCAATAATATTTTATGAATAAAAACCTGCCTCTGAAGCTAGTTAAGCCATAGTTTGTTGACCTCTGGTTCTAATGTAATGAAGATAATTAGTTAAAATTTATTTAGTTTTGCTAATTTCATATATGAACTTTGTCAAATGATTTCATTTATAGAAGACATCTCTTATGGATTTAAAAAAGTGAGCTGTTTTCTTTCTAGAACTATTAACAGTAATTTTTCAGCAAAAAATATTCATGTGATTTCCTTTTCCCTCATGAGAAATAATCAGAGGTTATTGTGCAGTCTGCTGGCCCAGATCAAGTACATTGAGTTTGGAGAGCATAACAAATGCTATGTTAGAGATGGCGAAAAGGAGTAAAGTTAGCTTCTTTTTATGAGGAGATGAGGAGTTGTGAGGAGGTTATGGTATGAATATATTGACTGATCAGTAGGTACTATACAGATATTTGAGTCTACACAGACCAGGGTTTGCATCTCAGCTGTCTCACTTATTAGCTGAGGGACCTTGGGCAAGCTGCTAAAACTCTCTAAGTTTGGTTCTTATCAAGTTGTTATAAAGACTGAATGAGACAGCAAATAGGGTACAGTCTTTGCAACAGAGTAGATGCTTATTATTATGCTAGTTGATTATTATTATTTTTAGGGCTACCACAAGCCATCAATGGTGATAGTAATGTTCTTCGCAGCATTACTGGAGTAGAATAACAAAGACAAAGACTAGATGGACTGGTATGCTTGTAGAAGATTTTCTTGTTTAAGCGATGGTGATCAGCAGCTCTTGTACAGGCACTACAGTATTTCAAACTGAGCTTCTCAAAGCTAATGTAGGCAGGCAGGCTGTGGGAATATGTGGCACACATGCTACATGGATGCTCCTACAGTCGTGGACAGTATTGCTGGATGAACACAGCTCTCTCTCCCTCTCCTAGTCTGCCCCTAGGCTGGGTATCCCAGGTAATCTGTGTACTTTCTAGATGCTGAGATGATACTGAGATGAATTTGTCTATAACTTTTTATAGAAGACTGTCTTGTAAGTACCTATGAAAAAAAGACTGGTTTTTCATTTCCATAAAAATACAAGAAACCTTGGGAACCAGCAGTTAGCGTAATGGCTATGTCGCTGGACTCCCACATAGTCGACCGCGGTTCGTGTCCCGGACCTGGTGGCTTAAAACTCATGTCAGGCGCGTGTGCCTGCGTGCCCAAGATCCCAAGAGGAGAATGGAGGAGAAGGGATTGCGGCGTGACCATCCCCCCTGGGGGGTGATTTCTCGCTTTCTGTCTCTATGTCTCTCTCTGTCTGTCTGGCGAGCGCACGCGCCCTACAGTGAAAATCTCTTAAAAAAAAATACAAGAAACCTTTAGTTTTGTTATTTATAACATTCACAACTTCAACATGCCTTGATAGCTCTTTATATATGCAAGTTTTCTAAAATGGGTGATAGTAGGCAGTAAGTATATTTTTATACAGTGGTAAGGTTTTCTTATAGAATCCATAGAATGAAATGCATTGAGAAAAAGGAAGTTTTTAGAAAAGAGGTGGATAACTAACAAATTTTGTTTGGAAATAATTGTGTCAGGATTTGCTTAACAAGCAATGGACCTCCAGAATATTCATTTTTTCCTCTTCTCACCCTCTTGGCTCTTGGTTAGTTTAATCTCACTAGAAGTTTTTCTAACATGTTTCAAAGAAGCAGCTTTTGCCTTTGATTGTTCCTATTGTTGTCTATTTCCTTTATTTTTGTCAACATCTTATTCTTTTTTTTCTACTCCTCTGGATTTTATTTTGTAGTCCTTTTTGTAAATTTTTGAGTTTGACATCAAATTTATTATTTTATCTTTTTTAGAGACTTTTTTCTTTAGGATACGTGCACTCATTGGAGAAAGAGAGACAGAGACAGTGAGAGGGAAAGTGAGAAATCACCTCTAGGGAGGATTGCCACACTGCAATTCCTTCTCCTCCTTTCTGTTCTCGGGATCTTGGGCACGAACACATATGTGCCCAGCATGAGATTCAAGCTACCTGGTTTAGGACTCAAACCATGATTGGTCATGTGGGAGTCCACTGACGTAACTGCTATGTCATCTGCTGGTCCCAAACTCATTATTAATTTAATCATTTTCTCTTATAAATTTAAGTCTTTAAAGTTATAGATTTTCTACAGTATACTACTTTCATTGTATCTCAAAAGGGTACCTCTTCTTTAAAAGCTTTGTAAAAATTCAGCAGCGAAGCCATCAGGACTTGGACTTTTCTTTGTTGGGAGGTTATTTATTACTGATTCAATCTCATTGCTTGTTACAGGTCTATTCAGGTTTTCTATGTCTTCTTGAGTCAATCTTGGTCAATTATATGTGTTCATGAATTTGTCCAGCTCATCCAGGTTTTCTTGTTTGTTGGTGTATAGTAGCTTATAGTATCCTCTAATGATGTTTTGTACCCTAAAAGTTTTGAAATGTAATGTTTTCATCATTTCATTATAAATAATTTTAGATTACTGTTAATGACTTTTTAGCTCATGAATTATTTAGAAGATTGGTTTTAATTCCCAAATATCAGGAAACTTTTTGTTTATATTTTTATAAACTCTCAAACGTGATTTTGCTGTGGTTAGAGTACATGACTGTGTAATACCCATCCTTTGAAAAAAATTTGAGAATTGTTCTATGACTTTAAACCTAACTACTATGTAAATGTTCTATGTGTGTACCTCAGAGCATATACTCTAATTCTCGATGCAGAATTTTATACATGCCTGTTGAGTCAGGTTACTGTTTAAATCTTCTAATTTTGTCGGTACTTTAGTCAGTTATAGCTTTATACATTTTGAGACTATTTTCTTTGTTATATACATGTCTAAAATTGATTTTCTGGTGAATTAAATCTTCTGTCATTATGTTATGACTATCTGTCTTACTAATAATGATTTTTACTTAGTCTGTTTTCTTATATGACTATGACTATCAGCTATCTTTTGATTAATATTTGCCTCATATATCTTCTTTCTATCCCTCTAAGCTTTCTAGGTCCTTTTCATTAGATGTGTTTTTACAAAGTATAGCTTATTTCTTTTTCTTTTCTTTTTAAAAAATTTTTTGCAAAACCTTTATTCATTATTTATTAAGTGGTAACTTCTTAGGATTTCCCTGGTGTTTAAATTTTTTTTTTTTTGAGAGATTTTCACTATAGGGCGCGTGCGCTCGCCAGACAGACAGAGAGAGACATAGAGACAGAAAGCGAGAAATCACCCCCCAGGGGGGATGGTCACGCCGCAATCCCTTCTCCTCCATTCTCCTCTCGGGATCTTGGGCACGCACGCACACGCGCCCGGCGTGAGTTTTAAGCTACCGGGTCCGGGACACGAACCGCGGTCGACTACGTGGGAGTCCAGTGACATAGCCATTACGCTAACTGCTGGTTCCCCCTGGTGTTTAAATTTTTAAAATTGTTTTTTCCTAATTTGTTATTATTCTTTAGGACTTCCAGAAACTTCTTCAGAGATAGTCTTAGAAGAATCATGAATTAAGCATTTCATTTTCAGGCTGGCATATCTCTTCCATGAAAAGTCACTTTTTCTACTGTATTACTTACCTTCTTTGCCATTTATGTTCCTGTCTTCTTTTTAGGCCATTCTGTCTTCTGCCCAATATTTTTGGCCTTTGAAGCTCTCTTCTTAGACAAGTTTCTTTAGTTTCTAAATATATGTATATTAGTTTCTAAATATACATTCATCTTGGGAACTAGGATTTCATAATTTATTATAAAGCAACTATCCTCTACCAACTTGAGATCACGTTCAGCATCAGGCTCAAGATTTATTGCCTCATCTTCCACTTCTGCCTCTTCAGTAGGAAAAATGGATCCGTCATCATCCAGGTATTTGTAACTATGACTGTCAGGATCTTCTTTTCCTAAATCTTCATGAACATTCATTTTATTCAAGGATTCCTTAAGGGAGGTATTTTTTACTTCAGTTTCTCAATGTAGTTAAAAGATCCCCTGGCAACAGCTTGCTCAAAGGTTAAAATTTTCCTCCATAGTAATGATTTTTTTCCACTCTCTGATTCTATAAATGGTAACTTACATACTTTGTCTCTAACTTGTTTCTTATCTATTTGTGACCTTCTGGTGTTACTCCTTCCTTTTGGTCTTTCCCTTGATCTTCCTGTTGGCTTATAGTTCCTTTATTTTCTTTTTGGTTTCTTTTTGTTGCATCCAGTTAGGTGAGGAAGGAACACATTGTGTTTTAAATAAGCTGCTATCAGTCCAAGAGCTAACACTTTGATTTTCAGATTTTACAGTTGAATCAGATGCCATGTAGTCAGGTGAATCCATTCCTGGTGTAGTCTTCAAATCTCTCCCATGACTTCTTTATGCATTGCTTTCTCATTGCTTTAGTTTTCTTCACCAACCACATCAAGCTTACTTTTTTTTCCCCACAAATTTACCAATTCATTGTGACTACTGGTGTATTTCTAGTCATTGTGATTATTGACTTGGTTTCTCTAAAAACAATAAACGTAGCATTAACTCTTTGTAGCCACACCAGAAATTAGATTGACTGTTTTGCTCCTGCTAAGGAGTGGACATTATCTTGGGAGAAAAGTAGTCTTGTAATCAAGAGTATTCACAAGATTGCTAATTCTTCTGTCTCTGCATAGATTGTAGGCTAGTGGACTGAACTTTTCCATCTTTCATTGTTTGAGGATGCTGCTCAGGAAATTGGATTCTGAAGGATAACTTGGGTAGTATCTTCGAACAAATTCAATGTAGTTTAGATAATGCTGCTGAACTAGTCACTTCATTGATGAATTAACATTGTAGTTTTCTTTTTCTCTTCCAGATGTTTTCTGTAAAGTGGAAATGCCCTCTCAGTATTGTTTGGCCTTACTAGAACTAAATGGTATCGGCTTTAGTACTGCAGAATGTGAAAGTCAGAAACAAATAATGCAAGCCAAGCTGGATGCAATTGAGACTGAAGCCTATCAACTAGCTGGCCACAGTTTTTCCTTCACTAGTTCAGATGACATCGCTGAGGTTGTATCATGGGAACAGGGAATTTAAAGTACTTTTTGAGTTAAAATGATATGTGTATGTGTATTTTCTAAATGTATTTACCTAAATAGCAGGGATAAGTGAAATAAAATCATCAGTTAAGAATTCTTTGGGAATAGGGTGTTCCAGTATCTAATTTATAAAAGTTACTTAGGTATGTGTGAACCAAGAAGATATTATAAGTACCTCCTAGAATGTAAACTTCACAAAGAGAAGATTTTCCTAGAAGAGAGGAGGCACTGATTACACTTGTTAAACAGAAAATTGGTAGTGGTAGTTGCATGACGGGGTAGCTGTTTCTCCATGAAGTTAGTCATTTCATGAACCCTCATCCCTTTTTCAGCCCAATATCTTTATTTAGAATTGGAAATTAGATCTTTTTCTGAGATATAAATTAAAAAGGGATTTTTGTGACTACAGTTTGAAGTATAATTAAGATTTTTTGTCACTTTATGTAAATTTTGATAAAGTAGCTCCTGTTTTATTTTCACAGGTTAGTTGTCTATTCTTACCTCTCACCAAATTCCCTACAAAGGGTGGTTAGAATGTTTTAGGGGGGTTACAAACATAGGGTGGGTGCTTACACTTGTTAACATTGAAGTTCTCATTTTTTTTCTAGATATTATAAGCAGTGTGGTATGTTGGTAAAGATCATAGCCTTTTCAGCCAGACATCTTGGCTTTGAATCCTACCTCCACCTTTTCTTAACTAACTCAGTGACCTTGAGCCAGTATATCAGTTCTTTATATCTCAGTTTCCATATCAGTACATGGGGATTATGATAGAAATGCCTCATATGATTGTTGCATGCTGAGAATGTTCAATGTGAAACACTTAGGACACATAATAAGTGCTCAATAATGTTATATATTCTTATGCAAATGCCATTTTTTAAGCCACAGAGTTATATATTTTAAAGAAAAAGACTTTTGGTTCTCTTACCCATATAGTACATTTGTTTGGATCCAGTGGTTTCAGTGATACCTTTGTTTTACTGTTGTTTATTTGTTTTGGGTTTTCTTTTGAATTGTTTTGCCCAGAAGTTCCTAAGCTAATACCTAGCTGATTATACTTACTGTTACATAGGGAACTTATCCAGAAAAGGGACTTTTGGGGTTTCAGTACAAGTAGGGTTGAGGCAAAGACAGGAGTTGCAGCCCTTGTGATTCACATGTGCACTAAGGCATGTGAGCTGTAGGTCTAGGCCAAACTCTAAGTAGAATACGTGTCTCTGACGCTATTGACTGTGGGCCTTCAAGTTAAAATGGAAATTACCTGGGGAGCTAATTTTTTTATGAAGTGATATATTTATGTTATCTTAATCATGATAGGTCTCTCTTCCTGGATTATTAGTTTATTGTTACTTTAATAATAAACTAATAAAAATTTCATTTTTTAAATTCAGTTATTTGATTTTTTCCTCTTATCCTGACATTCATGTATATCTGTATTAAGAGTTGCCTGGTAAAATACAGGACATCTATATTTTAGATAAACACTGGGTAATATTTTAGTATAAGTATGCATGAGGCAATTCAAATTAAAATGGGCATCCTGTAATTTTATTTGCAGAATGTGGCAACTGTAATCTGTACACATGTGTATGTCCATAAATAGTTACTAATATTCACAGTATCTGTCTCAGTTCCTTTCATTCCCAGGACTCCAGTTATCTTCACAACTTGGAACTGGACCTAGATCTTTGTTTTTGCATAGAAAATTATGTCATGACTTTTCTGACGACCCTTTACTATCACTTTTGTTGTAGG